GAGTGTTTTCACCAACGAGCAGCCACCGTCAGAACCATGAATGACCATATGGCTATTCTATTTCTGCTTCTCATTCAGAGCCAACGTCGAAAAAAGGCCATAACATTCAGGCAAAAGTTGTCAGCCGAGGGACGAAAAAGAAGAGACCGCAGGATATCAAGAGCTGCCTTGCAGCACCCGTCGATGTCTACGTTTTCGGTTCTCTACGGATCTGGCTGTGATAGATCCCTAATTACTCTAACAGGGCTTGATCACCACGCATTTCGTAGACTGCTTGAAAAATTCGCACCCGCCTTCGAACGATGTTCTCCGTACTGTAGCGAGGGAATGATAAGGCTCCTCCCGCTGCGTTCGAAAAAGCGTGGTCGCCCGCATTCGTTGTCAGCTTGCCAATGTTTAGGTCTCGTACTTTCTTGGGGAAGATCCAGGGGTTCCGAGATGGTTTTGTGCCTCATGTTCGGCATCACTGGCTCAGTTTGTTCGCTTTTCTTACGGTTTAGAAGGCGAATATTACTCCAACAACTCTCTGCAGACGACATGGCAGCTGTGCGCATGCCATCAGATGACGAAGTACATGTCTTTAAGCATTCCTTTGCATCAAAATATTCTATGATTTCTGACGTATATGCCGTTGCTGATGGGCTCAAGCTATACCTGCAGCAATCCGGGGACTCCGTTATCCAAAATATGTTTTATAATGGATGGACCCATGACCATTATGTTGGGAATGTTTTTGTGTTTGCCCCAAATGGAACGATTATAGCGTGTGCGGTGAACGCACCCGGGGCGATGCATGACTCGACGATAGCAGATTGGGGTAACATTTACAAAAAAACTGCAAGATGTGTATGATAGAACTGGTGGCCGCTGTGTTGTCGATTCGGCTTTTTCGAAAGGAAACCATCCGTTTCTTATCAAGTCTAGTCAGGACGACCTAATCAACGCTGAGCACGTGGAACAGGTTGCAGAGGGTCGACAGGCAACCTCCGCTCGGCAGGCAGCGGAGTGGGGTATGAGAGCGCTGCAAGGGTCATTTCCAAGATTGAAGGATCGACTCACATATGAAGAACGAGGAGAGCGAAAATCTATTCTTTTGTCTGTGGTTCTGCTGTTCAATTTTAGGACCCGTCTCGTTGGGTTGAATCAAATCTTGAACTCGTACATGCCCAACATGAGCGTCGACGCGAATTATTTTCTCAGCAACAACACCGTCATCCCTGAATAATGCTCCTTGCTTCGCCCTGGAGACCCCTTACTGCAAAAACACGGACCCGGGAGCAGTCAAGGATGAAAATCTTCATCCTTGTCTTCATCGCCGCTGCAGACCTCGCGAAGACACGGACCCGGGAGCAGTCAAGGATGGAAACGACGTCTTCATCGGCGCTGCAGACCTCACCTACGCACACCTGCATGAAGGCAATACACCACTTGGCACCTCCCCAACGGGACAACCGCCATCACAGCCGATGGCCAACAGCGCATCTTCCGCGTCAAACAGAACGATTTTTCCGCTTCCCTCATCTCTCAGTAGCCTGTAGCACAGACCGGCCCGTGAATTTTCGTATGGCCCACCGCCAAATTTAAACCAGGCACTCACACAAAGTGAACATTCGTCGCAGCTTCCGGGCAACGACACATTCAGAACATGTAAAACAAAAACAAAACTATTCAAACAAAGCCTACCCATCCTCCCCATCACCACTCCCGCCTTATCATCTTCTCCTTCTATTCCATCGTGTGGCTTCCATTGTAGCCTTTTCGATTGTAGCCATTTCCATTGTAGCCATTTCCATTGGAGCCATTTTCATTGTAGCCATTTTCATTGTAGCCACGTCTATAAGATAACAACTGCGTCCGCTTTTCCAGGCCTTTCCCTGGCTTTGCCCGGCTTTCCCGGCTTTGCCCGGCTTTCCCAGGCTTTCCCAGGCTTTCCCGGCTTGTCCCTACCTTTCATGGCTTTTCCCCGCTTTTCCCCTTTACTCTTCCTCTCACTAACATCGTACTACAGTGATAACGTACTGCAGTCAAGCTCGATTACATTACGTGTCACGAACGTCACACAATAAAAAAGAAGCCATCAGACGGGTTGTGGTGATTGTTGCTTCTGCTTGCTTGTGCTTGCTCCCTCATTAATTCCCACGCCCCCTGATGTCCAGTTGATGTGCAACGCAACACAAAACAATACGGACCCACCGTTCAGTAGACAACGGCAAATAGACATGTCTTATAACCTGATATAACTTGATATCCTTTTACAACACGCCTCCCAATGCTCCACTCCAACGGAGAAGCAAAGATTAAACAACAAACAGTGGCGCCCTACGTGGACATGACATACCGTAACGAAACAAATCACACAACTAATCATACAGCTAATCATGAAGTGTCGTCATCAAGCGCCATCATAAAGACCTGCAACCCCTGTCACCCCACAAAGGGACCCCGCATTCTGCGGTACCATAAGTCTACCCGTTATGACACTTGTTTCTATAGTACATCTTTCTAAATCAAGTACCCACTACTCTTCGTGTGTGGCCACACGTTGATGTTGTTTCATTTCTCTTTACAGCTATGCTTTTTACTTGCTCCATCCTTGTGCATTGATCCTTGCTCGTGCATTACGTCAGATACGATTTGAACGGAAAACACTCCCAAGACATCGGTTTCAACAAGTGCTCCTAGTATGTGCACCACATACTGCATCCCCTCCCGCTGTAACCTCCTCAATCTGTTTCTTCCCGATGTGGCGTCACGTCGCAAATCCCAGCCTTTCCCCTTCCGCACTGCTCCCCCCTCCACCGCCATGCAATTACCTTCTACACACCGCAATCCATGCCGCTTCAACCATGCTTACCCCATACCTTCCATCCAAAAATCCCCGCCCTCACACCTCCATTTGAAACATTTCCATCCCACCCACACGAGCAACCCATTCAACAAACCACCCACTCCCCAGCTTCACAGCTCCCCTAGAGGGCACCCTTGACTTCCTCTCCTCGCATCGTCGTGGCGGCAACGTCCTTGGTGACTCGCGCTTTCGCAACATCATTCACGACGCCGCTGAGATGCATGAACCATGGCAATGCGGCAAACTCATCTGCCACGCATCCGGCGGCGGCATCCTCTACAATCCCTACGTGGCTCTCTTCTGATACGCTCTCCCTGCAGGTGCACTACCGGACATGATCTGGAGACAGCGCTTCGGAGATTACAAGAATAAAACCCCCTGTCACACGTGGTGGCTGAAATCCGTCCTCCAACTCGAATTCTTCGGCGGCGCACACTCCTGTGCAGCATGCTGCAGAGTCCCCGCAGGGAATCCTTCCGACACTCATGACACACTTTAAGAAATCATACTATGACACGCGCACGGGTCTTCACATCGCCAGGTCAAGTCTCCGAAGTCCTCACCCGCTCGCCTAAACCTACTTTTTAGAAGTCGGAGGAAGTTTGTTGACCCCCATATCTTACGCAAGCACAAGCATCATCATTTCCATGAATTGATCGTGTCGTGTGCTCTGTGCTTCACGTCTTTGTCTATCTTCCTCTCTACGCTCTCTATCTTCCTGCCGCTCCCGCTCTTTTTGCTTCTGTTCCTCGCTTCTGCGTTGCTGCTCCTGGAGCATAGATAACTTGAAGATAGAAATAAGGTCCTCCCCGTCATCACCTATCCCAGTTTTGGACGCATGTTTTTTCCTCACAAGCGGCCGGGGCGAGCTGGATTTTATATTTCGGGAGGAGTGGCGTGGTGGACTCGTGCGACCTGAACTGTGGCCTTCAGGATTAATGACGGCAGTGCTCGAATTGTCCGGCATAACTACTGCCCCATTTCGCCCATGACCTTCTCCGTCTGAATCCGATCCATCTCGTTCCATTTCTGTAAGGACTACTGGTGCGTGTTCCTTCTGAGTAGAGATGTTTGGAACAACTTCTTCTGCAAATCCATCCGCAAACTGCCCGTCTCCCAAGTCCGCGCGATCAGTCATCTTGTACGGGATATGCTTAGCCTTGCGAACGTCTTGAGACATCAGAGGGTCTCTAGTTGGCATTTTCTTTCGATGCAAGGACGCAAATTTCCTTTTTAGCGAATCCAGAGTTCGGTCGCACTCGGGATATATCTGCTCATGCAGCCGAAGAACGTGATCCCATTCTTCTTTACACAACGGGAGGTGTTGATCTAAAACATCCAACAGACTGTCGACCTCCTGCTGTGAAAACCCGCTTCCTCTTCCGCCAATTGGTGACGATCTTAATTCGCGAGCGATAGCAATTTCTTCTCTTTGTGATTCTCTTTCTTGCCCCTGGTATGGGGTTGGTGGGATCATGAGGAACACGATGTGGAGCGGTGGATGTACGCATATGTAACGGCTGAACGGCAGTTTGGGCTAGTAAAGGACCTTCCACACTTTGGGCACCATATCCCGCGAGACCGTGTAGGGGGGGATCGGTGGTCGCTGGTTGAGGTTTCGTTGTTGAAAGGGGGGTGGGGCTGTTTGTCTCTGTATTCCTTGGAATGAAGTGTACTTTCCATGGTGACCTCTTGATTGCGTTCATCGGCTGATGAGGGAGATTCCTCGCCGAGTAGTCGATCATGCTCGGCCATGCTCGGTTGGATGTAGATGTCGAGTGTTGTCGGCCGGGCGGCGGCCGACGCTTTCTCTGTGTACAGTAAATTTGGATTGTACGCGCGCACATTTTGACATTTGTGCGATACACATTTAACCTAGCATGGGGTCCCCCGTCCGAGAAAACGGCGCGTTGTGTGTGCACAACGCGCCGTTTGTGTGTCACAAAATCCCGATTTGGTCAACACAATTTGCGATTTTTGAATTTCAGGAGTCGCCCAATATGTGCACCATCGATAAAAGAGCCAAAAAGTGGGTTTTTGTTGTTGGTTAATGCGTGTTGGCTTTGATTTTTCACTCCCCGTGTCACGCATAAACACATGCGTGTCTTTGCGGGGATCAATACGAGCCGAAAAAGTGGTTCAAAGCTTCACGTCCTTGAAATGTTCCGTTTATTTCTTCCCCGAAGCTTCGAATGTAACGGCTTCTTTGCGAATTATGTTCCATACTGTTAGTCTCCTTTGTGTCTTCGTCATACACGTTCCCCTTGTCACGCGCTTTTCTATTCGCGATGCGCATGCGCCCCTGCGTTGCGCTAGTTCTGCCCCTTCGCGGTCCTCCTCGCTCTCTGCCCTGTCGGAAGCATGATCCCGGTCTGATGCGTAAGCCTCCTCATCCGGCGCATGCGCCTGATCATACTCCTCCCTATCATCATTATCATGGCTGTCCGGCAGCTCATAACCACCATCAAAGTCATCCCCACAAGCGCAGCGATTTCTCTTGTTCGCCTTTTACCTCGGCCTTCTAGATGATGCATTGTCACGACACCCCTCTTTGCCCTCGGAATCGGATTCGACAGCATTGTGCATACAGTGTTTTCTCATCACTTTCATCTCTATGAGGTTCTCCAGCTCCCTACTTTTCCTGTCCTCTTCCCCTGCGCCTTCCTCTTCGCAATGTCACCCCAGCCTGCGTCAGTATAGGCATGATATCTGGCAGCTCCTGGTCAGGCTTGGCCTTCTGCGTCAGCCTCATGCCTGTCCTGCTAGCGCTTCGCCTTGTACTTTTTACTCTTCAGCATGACCTCGTCCATAATTTCGTGATTCGTGCGCTTCTCTTCGGCCGACGACATCACAACCGACCCGCAGAGGTTTGGACTTCTCGGTACCTTGGCAGTATCGCAGGAAAACTTCTTTTTGTCGGAGACAAGGGTCCCCGTTATCTTGCAGCCATTGTTTCCACCCCACCCTTCGAGCATTCCACCAAGGCAAGAAACTTGAACGTAAGATAGAACTTCAACATATAGGGTGTAGTCCAGCGGTGTTCTCCTCTCTCCCCCAAACGCAAGCCCCGCCTTGGCGTCTTCTCGCAAGCCAGTCGCTCGCGTCTTGACGATGGTCCCCTGGCACAAGCCCATGGACAGCATCTCGACGCCCTTGATTCTTCGCGTCCGTACGCAAGGTCATCCGCTGCTGTCCTGTCCCCGAGCACGCCATCCCCTTCATGACGCCCCTACGTGTAAGGGCCGGTCTTGAGCATCCCGCCAGGAAGGCATCGCGGTTGGCCCGTGCCTCGCGTGAGGTATCCCGGGCGGCAGGGCGTCGTAGTCACGAATGTAACGTAGATGAATCACCACGAGAGACGTAAAAAGTAGCGTCGGTCGTAGGCGAGCTCATTTGGGCAGCATTGGTTGGTACCGTGAGTGTCTCGAAGCGATCGGAGCGTTACGTTAAGTACAACGCAATCACACCCAAAACCACTAAGAAAGCGACAATACCCCCAACACAGACCCCAGCGTAACAGCCAGATCTGAACCACGGCTGCCTTCAAGGGTAGATAGGTCTCACCACGCCTGTATTAGAGTACTGTTCACCTCCATTCGAATACCAGCAAGGTGAATGTGCTTTGCTGAGGCACTTACAAGATCGGTGGGGAGAAGCTGGAAATCGCTCACATCAGTGCTTGTTGCGTTTTCCAACCTAGCTTCAGATCCTGCTTTCGCCCCATGCACAAAGATCTTTGCGGCGTTGCGACATGGAATCCTGTTCCCGTCTTTAAAGCGAGAGTCCTCGTAATTCTCTTCCATGCCAAAAAACAGAGACAGTTGATCTGAAACACTTGCCATCACGGTTCCTCCCTTCTCGTCGCACAAGTCGACCTTCCTCACGCCCCGGAAGGATGCGGTGAAGGGTTTGTCCGTACCCATCTTCTCCCTAAAGCTCGATTAGACGTTGTGTAGCCCTCCGCATCGCCTCGCGTCTGGTCCGAGCGTACCTGAGGCCGTGGTGCGGGATTAGACCGTTGGACGTGTTGCGAACACCCCCGCAACTGTCCTTCTTCTTGAGATTTCTTTATCGTCGATCGGTCGCGATATTTGGGCGATCGCTCTTCTGGTCGTGCTGACCAATTATATCGCCCCCTCTGGGCGGCCGTAGGCGCGGGAGAGCGGGGTTCGTTTAATCCGTTGCGGCTTGTGTTCGCTTCGTTTGCCGAGTTGGTCGTCGAGCGGCACGAGGTCCGGCTGTGGCACTGCGCTATGGCGCCTCTGTTGCGTATACGCGAGCGACTGTCCTGGAGAGTACGATTCCAACCAAGCGCCTCCCCTCTCCTCGCGGGGGAGAGCTTCTCTTCGGACGCGAAGGCGATCACCCTTCTTGGGATACTTCGGGCGCTTCTTTGGGGCAGTCCGGGGCGGGCTCCGAATACCTGCCGCGCGTGCGCATTGGGGAGAGTGCAGCGCCAGACGGCGAGTTCGGGGAGAGGCGGGGCCTCTGGTTCCATCGGAAGGAAGGGTACTGTTGCACATGGTGCTCGGTTGCTTTGGTATCCGGATTACATTTGGCACTTGATCGGGAATTGTGGCACTACAACGTTTGAATGCTGACAGTTTTCATTGCTGGTAGTAGGGTAACTACGTACAGTATCTCAAATATCGCAGTTGCGTGAAAGCAAATAGAGTTTGGGGTATATGGTCATGCAGTCGCAGAGAGGCAAGGCATCTTAGAAGTACCCTTCGGTAGCATGCAACACTTCCTCAACCGCCCGTTGCTAAGATGCAAGTCGCTTCAGGACTCTCCATCCATGTTCTCACACTCCCATGCACGCAATCGAATAGTTTGGTATCCTGATGACATAGGCCTTCTGAAAAATGGCACATGTAGTCAAGACACTTGCATGGTTGTCCAGAAATGAGATGCATACCTCACCGGGGCCAATAGGGCGTGAGCGACTTTCACATCTACCGCCGTCGTATACGTTGACACAATGACACCGTTCACCACGATGCGCCCATCTTGGGTTTGTGGGTTAAACAATCCTCGCATCTTGCTTACTGTGATTCTCGTGATTGTAGTCCGACTTCCATTCCCGAGCTCAAGTTTGTCCCCGATCTTGCTTTCCCATGCCGCCCTCATCATGCCATTTATCGAGAGAATGTGTCCTCTGGACAACATTAGAGGCACCTTCAGGTCAGCAGAATGCAAACGTACGAAGTGATGCATACAGTCATAGTGCCTATGAGTGAACATGATTACCGCAGAAAACTGGGATGGTCCGACTTGCACGCGATCACCGATCTCGAGATCCTCCATCACCTTCATCATCCCGTTCGCCAACAACACTGAAGTGACGGCAGGGAAGCAAGCCATCGACTCAGTGTCTGATTGAGCATCAGCATCAGCATCTTCTTGGCTCACTAGTGTTATCAAACCGTCTGCGCCAGGGGAAGAAGAGGGTTCGGGTGTGTCGGACGACGACTCTGCAAAAGGGCTACCCTCTGCTGAAACCGTTGGCATAGGAGTTGCAGACGTTTCATTTCCAAGTGCATTGGAAGGCAATGGTGCAGGATTGGCGTCATTTCCTACTGGACACGGAGTCTTTGATGGGGAAGGGGTTCCATCCCCAACGTTAATAACAGGCAGGGGCTCGGGCAATGGTCTCTTCGAAGCGGGCAAGATGGGGCTTGTTGAAGCCCCTGTTCCCGATGATGGTGATGACCGGGGAAAGGTTGATGGAGAGGCGGCGAAAATATTTTGCCCCTCATCAGATTCCTGGAACTTATCAGTGATACTCTTAATCCATGAAACGTATGTCGAAATTTTTGATTGAACACCCGGAAATCCAGGTAAGGCACAACTATTACCGAAAGAAATGATTCCCACTTGCACAATGTTTCCGTCCGCATCAAAGACAAAAGCCGGCCCTCCGCTGTCTCCTTTGCACGAATCACAGCCTCCTTGTGGGTACCCAGCGCAGATGTGATGATCCCGAGAGATATTTGCCGGTGAGCCTAAGTATGCCGTTTTGCAGTCCCTAATCGGTTGCACGGGCACATCGACTTGCAGCAAACGCCGCGGTTCAAATCCGGTCAAAGACTCGAAACCATAACCAGCCACACGTATAAACGCAAAGTTCTTCGGCGTATCCATGACCGTGTTGATTCGTACAAACTTGGAGCCAGGCGGGGCAGGATCAGAGAGAATTACCAGCTGTATGTCGTACTGAACTATGTCGATGGAGAAAACGGGGTGTGGTATAGCTTCGGTGATATTTACTATGCTACCATCTCTTGTTTCCTTTCCCCCAATGCGGACGAAATCGCCGGCAGAAATGGGGCAATGAGCCGCAGTCACAACCACTCGTTCAGACAACAAAGTTCCTGAGCACATGAGCCGTTCAAATATGCCAAATTTGAAGATGGCCACCATGTATGTCTCCAGTCCAACAGTCGGTAAAGTTCCGTTTATTATGCGCTGGAGATTGGGTGGATCCAAAATATTGGGGCATGTCTCGCCCAGTGCAGCATCTGCGGGTTGGCCGAGAGTGTTGGCTACGAAAAGAAGAGCGAACATGATCCATATGAGAATCCAGATCATGTTGTTGAGTTGATGAGAGAGGTCAAGTTGGTGCGAGGTAAGTCGCAATCAGCGTTACGAAGAGCGAATACCCGCTTTTTGAAAAACAAGAAGAGAAGAAATAGGAATCCCCCAGCCATGTAAATACTGTATATGGCTGGGGGATTGGGAAGAACGACAAAAATGTCGGCTGCACCAGCCCTAATTGCGCTCAGAGGAGCAGTTTCCGACATTCTTACAGCTCCAGTAACGGAAAGGTACCTTGAAGGTACAGTGAAAGTTAACAAGTTTCGCTCATTCATATGAAGAAAACATCACAGATCTGTGTATGCGGAGCTCTCGTGTTTGTAGAGCGGTGTTCATGAGCGCATGTACAGTTGTGATACTGTATTCTCATGAGGTGCCCAAAATTGCACCCTGCAAAAGTGCTAGGTTAAGAAGAACTTTCAGTATGCTGCACGTACCCTTCGAAGGGTAAGGGCTAGCCTCAACTGGGATTTCGTGCCGCTCGCTTTTGATTTGACATTTCACTGGCAGCGATAGACGTGCTCTTAAAGCACGTCTATAGATGACGGCCCATACGTTGGACGCTATTGTAATGCTGAGACGTTGAAGGATGCGCACTTTGAATGTGGCATATGTCATGGCGCTGCGAGATGAAATCTTGCGAGCGGGCTCATCGATAGCACTTACTTGCGAAGAGACGGAACGCTAATAACATACACATTTATTCGCTAGCAATACAGTGGTGCTCCTCAATAGTTCGCAGTTGAATAGTTCGTTTGGTCAATAGTTCGCCTTTCGGACCATGTCACGCCTTCTCAGACGTGTACACGTGTACTCGTGTAGACCGTTGTGGTCCCGACCGTTGTTTGAGGGAGTGGAGGTTTTAGCAGAAAGGACAGGTCTTATTGCGGCGCGGCCAGCGAAGGGCTTCGTAGGGCAAAACGAGTCTTTTTCGAGACCTACCCTACCCTTGGGTACCGAGAGCAGACAAGGAATAGAACACGGCAGACAATCATTTCAGAGCATTCTAAGCAATAAATGGACATGTGCCAGAAAGGCGAGCATAATAGTTCGTTCTGTCAATAGTTCGTATCTGTGGGTCCTGGCACGGGGGCGAACTATTGGCCGTAAGGGCCGTTCCTAACGACGAGCAAAGTGAGGGCCGTTAGGGCCGTTCCTACTGTAGACGTGCTCTTAGCTCGCTGTCGTATGATAACACACTTCCACCCGTCTTCTCTCCCCCTTGTCGTATGTGATACATTACACTACAGTACAGTACACGCAGCGCAGTGAACAGGGTACTGTACTAAAGCCCTCTCCGCCCTCTCCGCTCTCCCCTACTGTATACCCGCTCGAAGGGGGAGGACGTTCTACATCGTCACATTCGCACGCCTTCCCGTCATAATTTACAGGCTGTCCCGCAACTCCGTAACTTGATCTTCGTAGCTTGAGCATGTGATTGCCCGTGTCTACAATACACTCCCCTCTTATTATCATCTCCAAATAGTGCGATACTGACGTATTGCAAAATAAATATTTTATTTATTTTTGTTCAAGTGCTCCGCCATCAACGTCTGCCTCTTCACCCTTTCATTTCGTTTATGCAGCGCATCAGATAAAGCTCTTTTCGCTCTGCGGATGACATCGCAAACAAACGCTTTCCTTACATTAACCCAATTCAATTCTACCACATTGAACAGGAAACGCCTCACTACTTTGAGACAAAGACATATTCTCTTTCGTGCTTTATATATTGAAAAGTTACGTCTCCATCATTTTTTGAGTGAAGAGAAAGTGAGAAAATAGGAATCCAGTCAATGGTGGACAAGTGCGGGCCTTGCATATATGACGTGTGCTTTCAGCATCACAGCAATGCGCGGACATATATTAGCACCAGAGCTTGACAAAAATGTACTCTTAAGAACACATCACTTCACATTTTATCACCGTTACTCCATGCTACGGTATGACAGGAAAATAATGCGAGGCCTACGGAAGGATTACTGGATGTTGCAGCAGCGTTGCAGCAGCAACTTAGGAATAGTCTTCGCGAAAATGAGAAGAGGAATCACAAAAAAATGACACAGCTCCAGCAACAACTGTTTGAGAGGCGGTAACTCTGCACCACACAGAAAGCGACTGCTGTGTGTTGATAACAAAAAAAAAAAAACTCTATCCAAAGAACGGCGTTCCTCTTCTTTCCCCTTCTTGTCGAAAGGCCCCCCTTCTTTGCGACTCTTGTATAGCCCACTGCGAGTTATTACTCTAAAATAATGAATGATCCGCATTGGATATGGATAATGCATACTAACGTTCGTGTTACAGTTTCGTTCAACCAGAAGCAAGCGACAAGGCGTGTCTTGTGGCCTTGTTAGGTGATCAGTCTGAATTATACTCAGAACCTGACCAAAATGATTGTAGGACTTGTAAGCGTAGAGGCTGCATTACGGGTCATCGCAGCTTTCTTCCTCAAGCAGCAAGGGGAATACTAGTCATCTGTCGTAGTGTGATGCAGTAATGAGCAGCAAGGAGAATACCGGTCAACTGTCGTAGATTGATTCAGTACTGAATAAGCACGTAGTGCTTAACTCTCCTAGAGTAAGGGAGCACGTAGATTCTATTGCATCTCACTGTTGAGGGAGTAGATATGTTCCAAGGTGCATACCGAGAAAGTAAACTCGGCACTACTCTACCACTTTCAGAGAAGAACGCACCTCGCACCGGACCAAGATGTACAGAATGTGCGCGCATTCCATTCAAAGTAATCTGAAGGAATGGAACAGAAAGCTCAGTAGAAAGTGCTCGAATGTCTATACAGTTGATGAAGAATAACTTGCAATTGCTAAAATCAACACATTGCGCTCCCTATGTTAGAGATGAACAGCAAATAGACTGTTCTCTTCTGAACTTCATGCAGCACCAATCTGACCTAGACTATTCCTGAAGAGGTAGTGTTAGTATGTACTAGTTACCATTGAACATTTGTTAAAAACTGATGTGATTCAGGAGGGTACAAGTCAATGGAACTGTTCGTCCGTCTAGGGCATGCAGTTTACAGAACACAAACTCCAAGCATCATTTCTCCGTTTGATGCGACCAATGCAGGGGTGACTCAGGACCGCAGACAACCACTCGTATTCGTCACGGAGAAGATGTTTTTAGGTTCAGGTTGTGTGTG